TTTACCACTCAAAGTCAAATCTCCTTAGTCATCAAATATTTGACCTCCTCTACCCTTTTCTAGCTCTCCAACATGCCCCTTTCCTTCTGGTAATCACCATATTGTTGTCGGTGTCTGCGAGTTCGTTTGTCTTATTTGTTCATTTTGTTGCTTTCAGTTTTATATCTCACATATGATTGAAATCATATGGTTCTTGACATTTTCTGTCTTTATTTCGTTTAACATGTAATCTCAAGATCCATCCATGTTGTTACAAATGGCAGTATTTTAACTTTTCTTATGGCTGAGTAGTATCCCATTGTGTATATGTACCCACATCTTTATGCAATCATCTATCAAAAGACATTTTAGTTATCTCCATGTCTTGGCCACTGTGAGTAATGCTGTAATGAACATAGGGGTACTTATATCTTTGCTAATAAATTTTTTTTAAATTTTTCAGGTAGATACCTAGAAGAGGGGTTGTTGGGTCATATGGTAACTCTATTCTTAACTTTTTGAGGAATTTTCATACTGGTTTTCATAGTGGCTATACCAGCCGTGGGCAAACTATGGCCCGCGGGCCGGATCCGGCCCATTTGAAATGAATAAAACTAAAAAAAAAAAAAAAGACCGTACCCTTTTATGTAATGATGTTTACTTTGAATTTATATTAGTTCACACAAACACTCCATCCATGCTTTTGTTCCTGCCCTCTGGTCCAGTTTAAGAACCCATTGTGGCCCTCGAGTCAAAAAGTTTGCCCACCCCTGGGCTATGCCAGTTTACATTCGCACCAGCAGTGAATGAGGGTTCCTTTTTCTCTATAACCTCTCAAACACTTGCTTATCAAACAAACAATTTGGAAAGTTATGTGTGTATTACATATTATTTGTCTTATTGATAGTAGCTATTCTAACAGGTGTGAGATAGTATCTCATTGTAGTTTCTCTCATAGATGGTGAAGTTGAGCACATATCATATATCTATTGGTCTTTTGTATGTCTTCTTGGGAGAAGTGTACCTCAAAGGCAAGGGAAGTAACGGCAAAAATAAGTGAATGGAACTATATCAAACTAAAAAGCTTCGAAAGGAGAAGATATTTGAAAACAATTGCTCTCTGATAAGGGGTTAATATCCAAAATATATCAAGAAACTCATGCGACTCAACAACAACAAAACAAACAATCCAGTTAAAAAATGATCAGAAGACTTGAACAGACACTAAATCTTTAATTCTTGATCCAGTTATTTTCAGATTATTCCTTGACAGTGAATTAGCTCTTAACGATCTTATCCATATTGTTCACTAGCTTCCATTTTTTCCAAGAAGAATTTCTTTATTTCTTGCCAACATGAGCAACTTCTATGGAATTTTATATGCAATTATACATAGAACTTTTAGACATTTGTATATTATAATTATATATAAGTGTACTTTGAATAGTGAAGGAAAATAGCTGAGTTTTGGTGATATTAAACATACATATCTTTCCAAATTGTTTAATTGTTCTATGAGGTGGCAGATGACTTTCGTAATTTTATTATAGCTTTAGTTCATCTTTAATAATAGAGAGGAAGAGAGATATAATTTACCCATGTAGGTAAATGTGTTTCTTTAGTTTAATAGACTACTTTTGAGGTTTTTAGCACAATTTAAGAGTTGTAGTCAACCAGTGATCCCACTACTAGGAATATATCCCAAGAAACCAGAAACGCCAATCAGAAAGGATATATGCACCCCTGTGTTCATAGCAGCACAATTCACCATAGCTAAGATTTGGAAACAGCCTAAGTGCCCATCAGCAGATGAGTGGATTAGAAAACTGTGGTACATATACACAATGGAATACTATGCTGCGGTAAAAAAAAAGGAACTCTTGCCTTTTGCAACAGCATGGATGGAACTGGAGAGCATCATGCTAAGTGAAATAAGCCAGTCAGAGAAAGATAAATACCACATGATCTCACTCATTTGCGGATTATAGAGAACAACATAGACTGATGAAAAGGGACAGACCCAAAGACTGAGAAACAGTGATCAGGCTATCAATCCCCAGAAGGAAAGTAGGGGAGGGCGGGGCTAAGGGGAAGAGATCAACTGAAGGACTTGTATACATGTATATAAGCCAAACCAATGGACATGGACAACAGGGGGATGGGAGCAAGAGTGTGCGGGGCGGAGGGGTGGGGAGGTTGGGGGTTAATGGGGGGGATGAGGACACATTTGTAATACCTTAACTAATAATAATAATAATAAAAAAGAGTTGTAGTCAAATTGGCATTTAGTAATACCTTAATATACATTAGCCTACAATTTCTTGGGATTTTTATTTGCTCTTCTATGATTGTGTTCACGTCCCCAAGACTACCTCCACAACTGGTGATTTGCTAGAAGGACTCACAAGACCTAGCATATAGTGGTACTCATGCCAAATATTTATTATAGTGAAAGGAGATATATATCTATATAGATAGATGATAGATAGATAGATAGATAGATAGATAGATAGATAGATAGATAGATGATAGATACAGCTAAGTGACTGACTGTACGTCTGTTCAACTGTCCAACCGACTGACTGGCAAGCACATATGACATGCACTGGCAATTTAAAAATAAACATTGACTTGTGCATGCATGATACATATAAAGCTCTCGCTGGGGCCAATCACACGTGACGCCAGAATGTATCTGAAGACCAACTATTGGCATAATGTACCTCTGAAGCTGAAAGAAAGCGTGTTATCGACAGAATATGTCTGAAGACCAACTGTTTTGACATGTAATTTTTTGCAGTAATGTAATTACCGCATGAATTTTTCTTCTAATTTATTTCTTTTCATTGTACACAAATCTGTGCACCGGGCCACTAGTGTGTGTGTGTGCGCGCGCACGCACCTAAGCGACCATTAGGACAGAACAACCAGACGACCAGCCAGTAGCTGTGAAGTGCACTGACCCATACCTTACTGCTGGGGCCCTAACAGCCCCAAATCTGATTCACCCGCACCCCAGACCCAGACAGGAGGGAGAAGGGAGCCCTGGTTAGCTTGGCTGGTTAGTCGTTGGTTAGCTTGCTGCTGGAGCCAACCTCCTGCAGTCCCTCCCCCTGGCTGGCCGCCCACCTCTCCCCCCCCCCCCCCATCAGCCCTAATCGCCAGCCAGGCCGAGGAACCCCACCCGTGCACAAATTCGTGCACCTGGCCTCTAGTATATAATAAAATCAACAATGGGAAAGACACAGGGTTAACTCTGGGGGAAAACCACACAAGAGTATTTTCCCATTGGAGTCACAGGGACGCGTTTAATTTCTCCAGTAATGAATTGTCCCGGCACATGTGAAATGTCTAAAGAAGCGGCTCCTGGGAGCCTCAGATTATCGTTTAAAGCCCAGGGTTTCTTGGTGGCTAGTCACATAGATTGCTAATCATATAGTACCTACCAGGGTTCTAAACTCCCAGAAGGAAAGCAGCTGTTTAGCATAACCCACATTGTTGCCACAAACAGTTTAGAAATAGCCAGTCTTATCAGGGAATAATGAGAACCCTCCTGAAGTCCGAGACCCCAGATAACCAACTAAAGGCCAACCTTGCAAGCAGGCCTTTCAAAGGATAGTGTCAGACCTGTTGGGTTTACTGTTTTTCTGCACAATGGTGATTGTATTTTATACAACATTTTTTAAATTATCATTGATATGATCATCTCAGAGGAATTTGGTCTGTTAGGAGATTTTGTTGAAGACTCATGTATTATTTGGAAACAGCCCAAGTGTCCATCAGTAGATGAATGGATAAAAAAGCTGTGGTACATATTTACATAATGGAATACTACTCACCTGTAAAAAGAAGAAAATCTTACCCTTTCTGACAGCATAGTCGACCTGGAGAGCATTATGCTAAGTGAAATAAGCCAGTCAGAGAAAGACAAGTACCATATGTGGACTCTAATGAACAAAGTGAATTAAGCGACAGGCCGAGGGGAGTTTGGGGGGAATGGAGGGGTTGGAAGGAAAAAAAGGAATTTATGGACTCCGGCAACTGGTGATTGCCAGGGAAGCAGGAGTGGAGGAGTGTATGGGGGGGATAAATCGTAGTGGAAGGAGACTTGACTTGGGGTAGTGAGCACTACAATAAATTGTACAGATGATGTGTTGTCAATTTGTGCACCTGAAACCTGTAAAGTGGGACTTGTAAGGAACATGTGTTACTCTTCTAGTAACTTTATAAGAAAATTTTATGTTGAATACATTTTGTTCAGACTCTTACACTTTTAAGACCAGTAATATTTTATGAATCATAACACAGGTTTTGTGCTACATTTAGTGCAACTCCTAAAGATGCTATTAACAATATTTAATAGGTGCCTAAGATAGTTTTACAGTTGGTTATTGCAGAAAATGAGAGTTTTGAGAATTTTCTTTGATATTGTTTTTGAGCTCTATACTTATGATAGTCAAATTCTCTATATACTGATGGGGAAAATATTACTGGACTTAATTATGGAGGTTTTGGAAAAAAGCAGCAGTAATTACAGTACTTTTTTCCTCAAACTAGTAAAATTGAAACAAAGAGGTAAGACTAGATTTCTTTATTAGATTTAAAAGTAAAATAGGTGGCTATCTTACTTTTTTTTTTTTTTTACTATTCTTGGTATGTGATATATACCACTCTATCAGTGACTAATGTGTTGGATGTGAGGCAATTACAGTGAAAATTTAAGGGACTACTAGACCAATTATATTTAAATTCTTATTGAAAATTTATATTCTTCATGAGATTTAATGTTATGAAGTTTGCTTTGAAATTATGTATGTTTAAGAATTTATTATATAGTCTTTTCAAAATTTAGGCAGTACTTTTTTCATTATTTATAAAAATTAGCCTGCAGTTTTAAAATGTAAAAAATTTATAATATTGAAGTGGTCCTACTTCAGAAAAAGACATTTAAATTATATATTATGATTATAACAATTATGTTAAATTATATTCTTTTAATGTTATTTAAACTTTATTTTCAGGTCCTAATCTACCTATGGCAACAGTTGACATTAAAAATCCAGAAATCACAACCAATAGATTTTATGGTCCACAAGTCAGCAACATCTCCCATACCAAAGAAAAGAAAAAAGGAAAAGCTAAAAAGAAGAGATTAACCAAGGCAGATATTGGAACACCAAGCAATTTCCAGTAAGACAGTTCTTTTGTTGCTTTTATCTTTATTTTTTATTTAGTCATTATGACTCTAGGTTTTTAACTTGTTATAAAATTTTCTTTTGATAGAACCCTTACATTTATCACTTGCATACCTTTTAGTTACAGATTTTGCTGTAGTTTTCTGTTTGTTTGTTTGTTTTTTAAGCTGACTTTCTGTGAATCTTATAGTTTATTTTACCTTTTCATTCATTAGAAAAAAAATTAGGTAAAGTTTCTTTAATTGTTGGACATAAAGATGATTTCTCACTTTTCTCTATAAAAAGTGGTATTTGGCAATTTCTTAGAGGCATTGTCCTAATCTATTTGCGGTGCAATAACAGAATACCATAGACTGGGTGGCTTATAAACAACAGAAATTTATTTCTTACAGTTTTGGTGACTGGAAAGTTCAAGATAAGGCACAGGCAACATTTGGTGTCTGGTGACATCCCACTTCCTGGTTCATAGATAGCTGTTTTCTTGTTGTGCCCTCACATGTTAGGAAAGGGTAAAGGAGCTCTCTGGGGCCTCTTTTTTACGGGCACTAATCCCATTCATGACTTAATCACTTCCTAAAATTCTCACTTCTAGATACTATCACACTGGGGATTGGATTTTAACATCTATGAATTTTCAGGAGGCACAAATAGTCTGTAGCAGGCATTATTTTATTAGCTCATTACAAAATTCCTTTCCTCTCATGTATATAAATAAAAGCCTAAGCAACCGGTCGCTATGACATGCACTGACCACCAGGGGACAAATGCTCAACACACAGGATCAGGCTCCCTCCTGTCTGGATCAGGCCTGCGAGGATCGGGCTCCCTCCTGTCTGGGTCGGGTCTTTGGGGAATGGGCCGAAACCAGCTATTCGACATCCTCCAAGGGGTCCTGGATTGCAAGAGGATGCAGGCAGGCCTCTAGTATAATTTCGTTATATCTATGAGAACTATTAGTTAAGGCCAATAATTCAGTGGGTAGATTGGATTTCATATATATCTTGGTGTTAATGCCCTTTGTGTGTTTTTTCCCCTATCTTCTACTTTAGGCACATTGGACATGTTGGTTGGGATCCAAATACTGGCTTTGATGTAAGTGTCTTTTCAAGCCATAAACATTACTCTAACTATGTGGGAATATTATGGCCTATATTTGGATTTTTGTTTTTATTATTTATTTTTGTGAATTTTAGTGTTTATTTGAATGTGCTGTGTTTATGTACATATCACTAGGTTTGAAACCATAGTATTGTTCTGTAATTCATGGCTAAGTCTCTAAAGAGAAAATTTTTGTATACCTTGACTTTATTTTACTGTATAAGTAAAATCCTTGTGTTTTGAAAGCAAAGGGAAGAAAATTATTTCTGCTCAATAATTATTTCAGGGAAATAAATATATGCCAAATTATTGGAAAGTACTGTAATCAAATTCTGAATATTCAGTTGTTGAATGATATAGGTCTTTTCATTCTATTATTTTTGGCAATTTCATCATTCATTAATTTGTAGCACTGTGAGCAAGATAGGTGAAACTTCAGGCAAAAAAAAAAGGTGTTTAATATTTTATCTCTACTTTGGTTATCTAAGTAATAGGTATTTCACATTTGACAGTCAGGATTTGTAAAAATTAATTTGAAAAATATTTCTGATTGAGGTTAAAAATCCTTTTGGTTGTTTTGTTAAAGCTACAATGTTAACTCCATAAGTGTTGAGTGCCTTTTGTGTTGGACACTGTACAGTGTGCTTGGGGTTCTCAAATTTGCAAGTTGATTTGTATTTTTTTTTGTGGTTATAACTAAATCTTATTTAGGATAATGTAGTATAGGTGAGCATTAAATATGTCTGAATCATGAATGGGAAAATATAAAGATATAGTCTGTCTCTGGCCTCAGAAATTTTATAGTTTAGTGTGGAAACAGGTATGTAAACAGGTATTCAGTCATAATTATTATTGTGGAAACACAATGCTAGTTCCACTGAAACTAGTATGATGCTAATTTATCTATAATACAAAACTATTAATTTAAAAAATCTAATTGACATTCCCTATTTTTGAAGGCAAGGAATAAAAGAGATGGAGATAAAATATAAAGTCAATTCTTTTAAAAATATATATATATTTATTGATTTCAAAAAGGAAGGCAGAGAGAGAAAGAAATAGAAACATCATTGATCTGCTGCCTCCTCCACGCCCTCTACTGGAGATGGAGCCTGTGACCTCCTGGTTCATAGGTCAGTGCTCAACCACTGAGCCACACCAGACAGGCTAAAATCAATTCTTTTTGTATTATTTTTTTAATAAGAAAGTTTATGTAGCATATAAACAATATAACCATATTAAAAGTTTATGAACTTAAAATAATTTCATAAATAGTACAGATGAGAATTAAATATTATGCTTGTTTTTAAAAATTGGGAGAGATTTTATTAGTTATTTTATCTGTTATAGCTGAATAATTTGGATCCAGAATTGAAGAATCTTTTTGATATGTGTGGAATCTCAGAGGCACAACTTAAAGACAGAGAAACATCAAAAGTCATATATGACTTTATTGAAAAAACAGGAGGTGTTGAAGCTGTTAAAAATGAACTACGAAGGCAAGGTAACTTTTATTTCTATTTAGGAATCCTGGTCTATTTGTTCTTTTGAATCTTTAGGTTAATTTCTTGAAAGACAACTACACACATTAATGTGAACCTTCCTTAAGCAAATATTTGAGTTTATTCATAACTAGTTTGGCCCAGTGTACTATGTTTTACATTATTTTGGTATAACAAAAAAGCTTGACAAAGGTTTGCTTATTATAAAGATGTCTTATATTAAATTATGAAAATTCATACAGAATCTTCTGGCTATTCTATTTTAGAATAAAAATGTATGATTACCTAATATTTTACTTAATCTTAGAAGCCGTTAAAATTGTTTTTATTACAATACAGAACTATTAATTTAAATACAATCACTACCTAATCAATAAATTGTAAGGATATTCAGGATATAAATAACAAAAATATCTCTATTTATTTTTAAATACAAACTTTTTTCTTAAAAGGTATAAAATTTGTCTTTTGATACCTGAATGCACAAATAATTTGCAACCTTTCAAGATCAAAGCGCCTTGTATTTTAGTTGTATCTTAATAATTATCACAATAAAATGCAAAGACAGTAACTCTGAATTTTCCAGTATGGCAATCATTTCTTTGCTACCTTACTTATTTGGTGCTGCTTTTCTTCTTTGTTTTTGCATACTCATAATAAAGTTTAGCAATGTGAAAGCTCTAGTTAATCAAATTATTCTTCTGAAGAATTTACCTGTCATTTTAACTTAGGTGTTTGACTTACGTGAATTTTTAACCAGTGATGTTCATTTAATCTTTCTTTCATTCATTCATTCATTCATTCATTCATTCATTCATTCATTCATATATTCAGTAAATATACACCACCACTAGTCTCAGGATACTAAAATATAAAGATACAGTCTGTCTCTGGCCTCAGAAATTTTATAGTCTAGTGTGGAAACAGATATGTAAACAGGTATTCAGTCATAATGACTATTGTGGAAACACAATGCTAGTTTCACTGAAACTAGTATGATGCTAATTTATCTTACTTTGTTAAATAATTACATTTCCAGTTTCTGTAGAGTTTTAATAAAACATTGTGAGCCACTGTACCATTGTTATAAATGCTCCCAGAGTAAGTCAGGGTTACTGTCAGTGTACAGATGATGGGAAGTCTTGAGGACCCTTGTGTGTTCCTTGACTCTTTTTGTTCACTGTTACCACAGACCCTCACCTTATACCACCAAATGGTTCTCAGGGTCTCTGAGCTCTCTGAATTTATAAGTATAAAGTATTGTTGACATTTATTAGACCACCCGTACTACAACCCTTTCACCTGAATTCCTGTAACTAAGAGTTTACTATATTAACTTGATTGGGTTTGTTTGTGTTTTTAAACTTTATTACTGCTTGTAATTTTAGCTGATTTTAAAACATTAAAATAAGCAAGGCTTTCCGTCAATTAAATGACCTAAAACAAACAAAAAAAGACACAGGTATTAAAAAAAAAAACAAAACTGTTGGGAACAGAGTTATTTATTATCATACTCAAGAACCTAATTTCTAGTGTAGAACCCACCAAACAGTGGTTTTTATAGAAGATAAATTTTTTTAAAGGAAGAATAAATTGATATTTATTTTTATTAAGGAGATATTTTCTAAGCTGAGCAAATAATTTTAGAAGTATGAAAAAATTAGGGAAAAGTTTGAGTTTTTCTGTAAAAATCTATTGAATCAAATGTCTTAAAACTTAATTTTGTAAAATTATTTAATCAGGATTATAAAAAGTACTAGACTTGTGATTTCCAGTGTATCTTTCTTTGTGTTTATGTGCAATTGTCTGAAATCCATTAACTCGTAATAATCTTCTCTGTAGGTCCCCCACAATGGAGTGGTATGTATGTGGGATGTTATTTGACCCAGTGCACTAAATTATGCATGCTGTGGTGTGTTTATTTTCAGAGAAGCTAGAGTTCATTTACCTTGCCATCAAATCTAACATCCAGTGAGGTCTTTTGCCCTCTACTCAAACCAATGTTTTGGGCATATAGATGTTTAAAGTAAAAAGAAAATTTATTTCTATATGAGTCAGAGCTCATATTTTGTCCACAATTTAGATAACTTTATTGAAATTCTGTGGATTTTTTTTTTTAATCCCGTTCCCACAGCACCACTGTTGTTTTGATTACTTACTAGAGGTCTGATGCATGAAATTCATGCAAGGGGCTCAGCCCTCACAGCCCCAGCTTCGTCCAGAAGGTTGTCTGGACTGTCATTCTGCTGTTCGGTCTAATTAGCAAATTAGCTCTTTATTATATAGGATTATACTTACTTTTAGTCATTGCTTTTTATACTTGGCATTATTTAATATCCTATGTCAAGCATACTTACATTTTTACATTTGTGGCAAGGAGGGAGGACTAAACATAAACTCACACTTAGTTTTGTAATTGCCTACTCAGAGTTGTCAGTATTCTCATAAGTTTTAATTTGTGGTTAATAACATTTTTCTGAGTATATGAGAACAGTTCTTTAATGTTTTCCTGAGTTCTATAATACTGCATTTAAGTATTATAAATATCTAGAGAATTATCTACTAATTACTCTTAATATGAATATTTTTCTGAAACAAAGTATATTGACCTTCCTTAATAATGTACCATCAAGATAAGGTTTTTTTCTGTAAATATTAAAATTTTTTTCATTTTAACTAAGCTTTGATAATAATAGTTTTCATTTGATCTAAGAAAGTTGTCATTCTCAGTCCAGTGTTTGTGATGACTCTTAGAGTTTTAGAAATTTGTAGGCCATCAGACTTTCTCATAGTGTTGTTGTGTGGTATCTGCTTAGCAGACATTTTTGTGCATATAAACCTAACTAACATTGGGCCAAGAATCAAATGTGAATTTAATTATTTAACTCACATTTTTACCTTGGCATGTGGCATGTTGTTTTCCTCACAAAAATATGCAGATTCCCATTATTTTCAAGTTAATAGAAATGCTGACCTTGTGCTATACCCAAAACTGGATGCAGCTGACCTTTTTTCACATAAATTAATAAGGCTTCTTCCCTGAGCAATGATTTAGTGTCTATTTGAATGGGTATTAGCTGGATCTCAAATTATTATAATAAATGTACTTACTACAAGTTCTCTTTACTGAAGAAATTTATCATTTTACATATAAAAGATTATGGATGGAAATTCCTCAGTGAAACTATGAGAAATGGTTGACTAATACCTTGTATGGTAGAATAGAGTGGGTCCTTCTTGATTAATAAACAACTAAAACATAAAAGTGCCAGTCTAGACAAATATCATTAGTATCCTATCTAATAATAGACAAACATGGCAATTGACCATACCTTCGCTACGCCTCCCTTTGGCTAATCAGCAAGATATGCAAATTAACCCAACCAAGATGGCGGCTGGAAGCCACGCAGCTGAAGCAAGCAGGAGGCTTGCTTGCTCCAGTGATGGAGGAGGCCAAGGTTCCCCGCATGCCGTGGCCCAGCTCTGAGCTCTGAAAGCAGCAAAGTTTCAATTATAGAAGCTAAACAAACCCAGGATACCTACTTTCAGCAGGCCGAGGCCTCAGAGCTGGAGCAAGCAGGAGCCCGGCTCTCAGCTCCAGTGACAGCAACAAAGTTTCAATTATAGAAGGTAAATAAATCCCAGAATAAAAAAGAAAAAAAGGAGAGGCTGGGAGCTTCAGTTGCCAGCCAGCCTGAAAACGGCCCTCAGTCCCTCACCCAGGCTGGCCAGGCACCCCAGTGGGACCCCCACACTGATCTGGGACACCCTTCAGGGCAAACCAGCCGGTCCCACCCGTTCACCAGGCCTCTATCCTATATAGTAAAAGGGTAATATGCAAACTGACTCTAACAGCAGAAAGACTGGGAATGACTTGTCACTATGACACACACTGACCACCAGGGGGCAGACGCTCAATGCAGGAGCTGCCCTCTGGTGGACCTCTGCTCAGCCACAAGCCAGGCTGATGGCTGCCAGTACAGCGGTGGTGGTGGGAGCCTCTTCTGCCTCCTCAGCAGCGCTAAGGATGTCTGACTGCAGCTTAGGTCCACTCCCTGCTGGCAAGTGGACATCCCCTGAGGGCTGCCAGGCTGCCAGAGGGATGTCTGATTGCCAGCTTAGGCCCAATCCCCCGGGGAGCAGGCCTAAGCCAGCAGGTGGTCATCCCCCGAGGGGTCCCAGACTGCGAGAGGGTACAGGCCGGGCTGAGGAACCTCCTCCTCCCGCTCCCCGCGCACCCCCCCCCCGCAGTGCACAAATTTTGTGCACTGGGCCTCTAGTTTGAAATAAAAATCTTAAATTGGTTAAAATGAAATCTTTGTATCTGCTTGAATGATTATATGTATTGGCTTATTCAGGGAGTATACATAATACATACATACCATGTATCCTATTGGTTTCGCCCTTTTATACAAAATATGTTAGGTCTCCTTGCTTTGGATCTGGTCAGAAAATTGGGCATATCTTAGCTCTGCAGCCCTTATGCCTTGAGTGCAAATCATAGGAGCCTACATCTGTGATGGCCTACATCTAAGTAGGATAACACTCCTATTTTCAGCTGTATATTATTTTTAGTTATAAAAGTTTGTATGCCAGGTGACAATACCCTTGTGTATATTGGCCTTTCTGCATATTTGATTGAATGTTTATGATTATATTTGATAGCATATTTTTATAGCTTATTTCCCATGAATGTTCCAAATTAAACTGGAAGATGCCATTTCATTTCCTTTGAAGTGAGTCTTTTTTCTCTTTGGTACCTTTGCATTATTGTTATCTGTAATTAAGGTAGGTAATTGTATTCTTGTAAATCAAGCATGTCAAACTAAAAGGCTAACACGAGACAAATAAGATTTAAGTTTATGTGGGCCGCAAAAAAAACAAAAGTTTCAATTTTCATAGAAACGTAAGTTTATTTCGATAGAGACATGCTGAATACAAAGGGCTTAAGTAAATGAGTAATCATTAAGATAAAATAATAGAACGTTTTAATAAAAATTAATATTTTTCTTGAACATTAACAGACACTGAATAACTGCACAAATTAAATAAGCATAACGCAAATAAACCTATTTTTCTTGTTCTCCAAAAGCGAAATATTTCCTGTTGTGCACACCAAAAAAGTCAGTATGAGACTAATGACATGGCAATTGCCTGCTAAAATATTCGCTGCTGGTATTAGTGGAGAGAAATGGTGCACCTGCACGTAAGGCATGTAAGGGAAATGAATGCAACACGATTATAGTAATCAGTCATTAGCAAACGTTGTAGTTCGTTATTAATAATTATGTATAACAGGATATTGTAAAAATTAACTTACAAAATTGTTATTAAAACGTTTCTTACATACCATTATATTGGCTGGGCTGCAAAAATATTAGTTGTGGGCCGTGGACCGCAAGTTTGACATGCTTGGTTTAAATTATAGAAGTATCCAGCAATTATATATTAGAATTTGTATCAATAAATATAAATAGCTATTATGAATTCTAGGATTTCTCTACTCCTAAAAATAGTTAATTTTTGTATTAACTTTTAAAAGTGAGTGGAGAAAAAATATTCATTATTATATAAATATGTGTATACTGTTGGTAAAATCATATCTCTAGAGATGTCATAAATTTATACTTTGAATTGATTTATCTATTATATTTTATATTTTTACTTCATATAATAAGAGTAAAAATATTACTACCAGAATAATGTTAATATTTTATTAATAGCTTTTATTTTGTATCATGTAGAAATTTTCAAGTTAATTTGTCAATAGTTCTTGTCTCCTGAATAAGTAATTGAACATTTCAGCCGAGCAGCCAACCTCCGTAAGGCCATCACTGGAATCACTGACCATCTTTTAGAAAATACAGGACATTATATATGTTTTATATTATTATAGTATATTCGGTTATTCATTATTTTATATTATATACTATCTATTTATGTATTGTTATGTAGTCTTTATATGGGGTGTCCCAAAGAAATGTATGCACACACTGAATAATTATAAAGGCAGTGTTTATTAAAATACATTTTGCTTTCAAAATTGAGCTATCAGCTATTAAAAAGTGTATATACATTTTGGGGGACCCAAAGTAGAAAATATAGGACATAAGTGCAATTGTAAGTTAGATAGCAAAGGTTTACATTTTAAAAGAAAAAGCGTTATATTTGGCTTCAGCTCAGATTACTCTGAATGAATTCTACTGTTAGGCTACATCAACTATATAATTCTGAGTGTGAATTGATTTTATAAAACAACTAAGTATGTACTTGATTCTTTAGAGAGAGAAAGTATCCATTAATTTTTATTAAAATGCAAAATAATACTATTGACAAATATTTAATTCTGTTGTTTATTTTGTTACTTTATTTTTAAAAATGTTTATTGTCTTTCAGAAGTGGTACTGGTTCCTAAAAACTACATTTTACTGTTTTAGCTAATATTTTTTTAAGAAACAACAGGAAGGTGATCTTTAAGTTGAATATTCCTAAATAGAATTGTAAGATACCATCTGTGGTCAGATACCTTTATAAAATAAAAAACAAAGATGAGTGCTTTTTTTATCTTACATAATTTTTTAAATATATATTAAAATAAGTGACTTTCTCACTGACGTTTATGGGGGGAAAACATGATTTCTTTTTTTGTTTTTATTTCAGCACCACCACCTCCTCCACCATCAAGGGGAGGGCCTCCTCCACCTCCTCCCCCTCCACATAGCTCAGGCCCTCCTCCCCCTCCTGCCAGAGGAAGAGGCGCTCCTCCTCCACCACCTTCAAGAGCTCCCACAGCTGCACCTCCACCACCACCTCCATCCAGGCCAGGTGTAGGAGTCCCTCCACCGCCGCCAAATAGGATGTATCCTCCGCCACCTCCAGCCCTTCCCTCCTCAGCACCTTCAGGGCCTCCGCCACCTCCTCCACCTCTGTCTGTGGCAGGGTCAGCAGCACCGCCCCCACCGCCTCCACCGCCGCCACCACCCGGGCCACCACCTCCCCCTGGCCTCCCTTCTGATGGTGACCATCAAATTCCAAATCCTTCAGGAAACAAAGCAGCTCTTTTAGATCAAATCAGAGAGGGTGCTCAGCTAAAAAAAGTGGAACAGAACAGTCGACCGGTGTCTTGCTCTGGGAGGGATGCACTTTTAGACCAGATCCGACAGGGTATTCAACTAAAATCTGTAAGTAATCTGTTCTTTTCATATTAGACTGTCTATCATTATGGATTTTTAAAGTAATTTGTAAGACATCCTTGAAAAGTATTTTTTAATTTTTTCTCTTGGTATTCATTTTTTAAACTATGAATTTCTGATATTTTTATATACCATAAAATGCATAAATTATACCTATATTTCTGTAACTGGTACTTCTGTATCTAAATATCACCCCAGAAAGTTCTCTCATGTCTCTTCCCAGTTAGTCTTCCTCCTCAAATGAATCACTGTTTTGGTATCTGTCACCAATGATGAGTTTTTCCTATTCTTGAACTTCATAAAAATGGAAATTTACAGTATGTTTACAGTTCATTTTTTTAGACTTTACTTTTAAATAAAAGGTACTTTAGAGAAAAGTCTTTACTAAAGTATGGAGAAATAAAATAGCCCTACTTGAAATCAATTTTGATTTACCTAGGTAAATTCAAATCACTAACTTTGTGAAAACAAAAGCATACTAAAGTTTCTGTATCTATAAATTTAGTTGAGTATTGAATCAGACTCCACAGAAAATTGAAAGAGTTCTAATAGACTTTTCTGACATGATAGCAGATAATTTTGAATTCTCTGAATTGAATGAGGTGATCATTTTATTTTCTAGAGCAGAGATTTGGCAAATTTTTCCTTTAAAGGACCAGATAGTAAATATTTTAGGCTTGTAGGCCATACGGTCTCTGTCACGACTACTCAGCTCTGCTATTGAACCACAAAAGGGGCAGCCAGACACATATACTTCAAAAACAGCCACCAACAGTACATAAATGAGAAGGCATGATTGTGTTCTGTAAAACTCATGGACACTGAAAGTTGACTTTCATATCATTTCATATCATTTCAATGTCAAATATTCTTTTGATTTTCTTTCAACCATTTAAAAATGTAAATGTTCTTAGCTTTAAAATTATACAAAAACAGAAGACAGGCTAGATTTGGCTCATGGACAATAGCTTGCTGACCTCTGCCTATATTCGGAACTTCCTTCTGGGTCTATACGTGTAATCTCTCGGGCTGGTAATTGATGTAGAATTTTCTATGCAGTAAGTGGCGATGAAAGAAGATTTTAACTGAAGATTATTTTGGAATATAGAAAATTATGGTAACTTTCTCAAAAGAGAATGATGCATAGAGAACATACTGATTGAATGAAACATTAGCATATCACAGATTTAAGAAACTTCTGATTTCTCAAATATATCTGGGTCTTCTGTTGCTGATACTTATATCAGCTTGTGAGCAACCATCTCTGCTCCCTCTTCCCATTTAGTTCAAACTAAAGGTTCCTCAGGAGCAATTTAAGAACTTTGAATAGTTGTTAGTGGGGAGAATTAGTGTCAAAATGACCACAGCCCAGGTGCATAGCAGGTTTTATGTAATAGAGTTGTTTAGTTTCTGATTTTACCTTGTAACCTATGCTAGTTCCTGGGTGGCTCTCACTCCCATCTCCTACTCCTAACCTTTTATTTCCTCTCATCTTTAAAACCAGCTTTTGTTTTTTTCACTCATTTAGTGAAAGTAAGGTGTTGATTTTTATGTACAATTGTGTCCTCTTCTTAATTTAACAGCTGGTGAGTTATATTTCCTAATTTCTTCCCCCATCTACTTTTTCTATCACCACCACCAAAAAAACCCCACAACCCTATAAATTGTTCTTCTCTAAACTTCTTTTTAGAAAGACATGTTTTTTTTTCTAAATGTAGAATAGTAGGCTATTTTTATACTAAATGATCACTTTCCTTTTGAATGTATTTGGAGCATTTTCTCTTTTAAAAAATTTATTGATTGATTTTTAGAGACAGAGAAGAAGGGAGCAAAAGAAACATTGATTTGTTATCCCACCTATTTATGCATTCATTGGTTGCTTCTTGTATGTGCCCTGACCAGAGATCAAACCCACAACCTTTATGTACTGAAACGATGCTCTAACCAACTGAGCTACTAGGAAAGGCAGGAGTATTTTTGTGATGTGCATAATCAGTGAATTATTGGCATGTTATACATGTGATTTGAGTCCATAATTTTACTTCATTTAAAAAAAAATAACCAATCTGGCTATGTTTCTTTAAATATTCTATATAAATCATCAATTTGGTATGTGAATATGATTAATATAAAACCACAGATTTAATTAAAATGTTGGCAGGAAGTGTATAGGTATTTATTTACATACATTTTGAATTCTGTGTTCATAGTACCTCAGAGAGCATCATGTCCAAGAAAGTGCTTTAAAAACAGTGTTTGCCGAGACCGGTTTGGCTCAGTGGATAGAGCGTCGGCCTGCGGGCTGGGGGGTCCCAGGTTCGGTTCCGGTCAAGGGCATGTACCTGGGTTGTGGGCACATCCCCAGTGGGAGATGTGCAGGAGGCAGCTGATCGATGTTTCTCTCCCATCGATGTTTCTAACTATCTCTCTCCCTTCCTCTCTGTAAAAAATCAATAAAATATATTTTAAAAAAAAACAGTGTTTATGACAGTGCTGTGCTCCTATACTGTTCTCTGCTTTATGTTATCAAATTGCTCAAAGGAAGTCAGAATGATTTTCCTTGCTACTGTTACGCTTCTTGTAGCACCCTTGTTCTGCAATTCAGAGTTCTGAAACTATTTGTTATTTTTTTCATTTGTGTTTCTTCTGTCCCAGAAATACTTAATATACAGTCTCTGAAAACCTAAATACTAATGAATGAGTCTGTATCTTGTGGGGAACTAGTTTGAATATTTTTTCTTTATTTTTTCCCCCTACACTCTGCCACCTCTACCCACGCCCCTCACCTTGCAATCACCACACTATTGTTTGTGTCCATAAGGTCTTTCTCTTTTTTTCCCTTTTTTTTTGTTTAATCCCTCCCCTTCCCTACAGAGCTGTCAGCCTGATTTCTGTTTATGAGATTGCCTCTGTTTTGCTTGTTAGTTCAGTTTGTTCATTAGATTCTACATACGATTGAAGTCATATGGTACTTGTCTTTCTCTGGCTTATTTCACTTAGCATAAAGTTGTCCAAGTTCACCCATGCTATTGCAATGGGTAAAATTTTTCTTTTTTGGCCAATATTCCATTTGTAAATGTACCAGGGCTGTTACCCAGTCATCTCTTGATGGATACTTAGGCAGCTTCCAGATCTTGGCTGTTGTAGATAACAATGCAGTGAGTATTGGGGTGCATATATTCTTTCAAATTAGTGTTTCAGGTTTCTTCGGATAACTTTCCAGAAGTGGAATCACTGGGTTATAAGCAGGTCCATTTTTAATTTTTGAGGTAACTCCATACTGCTTTCCATAGTGGCTGCACCAATCCCAACAATAGTGCACAGGGATTCAATATATCCTCACTGGTACTTGTTTGTTCATTTATTAAAAGCCATTCTGACTGGTATGAGGTGATATCTCATTGTGATTTTAATTTGCATTTCTCTGATGATTAGTGACGTTGTGTATCTTTTCATATGTCTATTGGCCATTTGTATGTCCTCTTTGGAGAACTGTCTATTCAGGACTTTGCCCATTTTTAATTGGATTGCTTTTTTTATGTTGAGTTTTATAAGTTATTTATAAGATCTACTAGAGGCCTGATGCACAAAGATTCGTGCAAAAATAGGCCTTCCTTCCCCTGGCTGCCGGCGCTGCCTTTGCTCTGGCCCAGCCGCCTTCTGCCTACACGCACTGCCCAGATGCCCGGAGGGACCGGGGTTGGGCGGAATGCCTGTGTCGTCACCATGACGATGACGCAAGGGTCCTGGCCTGGCCACCGCCATCTTTGTTGCGTCAATTTGCATATTATCTCCTTATTGGCTGTGGGCACCACCATCTTTGTTGCAAAGTGATGGTCAATTTGCATATTCTGTCTTTATTAGATAGGATAAGATCTATCAGGAAATATGTTCTCCCATTCAGTGGATTGTCTCTTTATTTTGTTGATGGTTTCCTTTGCTTTGCAAAAACTTTTTAGTTTAATATAGTCCCATTTGTTAATTTTTCCTTTTGTTTCCCATGTCCAAGGAGTTGTATCAGAAAAAATATTGCTACAAGAAATGTCTGAGATTTTTACTATGTTTTGTTCTAGGATTTTTACAGTTTTTAGTCTAACATTTTAAGTCTTTATTCCATTTTGAATTTATTCTTGTGTGTGTTGTAAGAAGGTGGTATAGTTTTCTTTTTTTTTTCTTTTGCACATTTCTGTCCAATTTCCCCAACACCACTTATTGAATAAACATCTTTAAGCCACTGTATATGTTTTTGCCTCCTTTGTCAAATATTGACAGTAAAGGAGTGGGTTTATTTCAGTGCTCTCTATTCTGTTCCATTGATCTACATGTCTGTTTTTATGCCAGTACCATGCAGTTTTTATTGCTGTGGCATTGTAGTATAGTTTGATAATAGGTAGTGTGATTCCTCCAACTTTGTTCTTCTTTTTCATGATAGCTATTGCTAGGTCTTTTGTGGTTTCATATAAATTTTTGGAATATTTCTTCTAGTTTTGTTGAACATGTCATTGGTATCTTGATAGGAATTGTGTTGAATCTATAGATTGCTTTGGGTAGTATGGACATTTTAATGATGTTAATTCTTCTTATCCATGAACATTGTATATCCTTCCATTTATTTGTATCTTCTTCAGTTCTTAATTCAGTGTCTTATAATTTTTCGAGTACAGGTCTTTTATATCCTTGGTTAAAATTATTCCTAGGTATTTTATTTTTTTTGAAGCAATTGTGAATGGAATTGTTATTTTAGTTTCCCTTTCTGATAGTTCATTATTGGTGTATAAAAGTCCAACTGACTTATTTATTTTGTATCCTGCTAGTTTACTGAATTCATTTATCAGTTCTAGTAGGTTTTTGGTGGATATCTTTAGGGTTATCTGTATACAGTATCATGTCATTGGCAAATAGTAAGTTTTACTTCTTCCTTTTTTATTTGGATGCCTTTTATTTCTTCTTCTCTGATTGCTGTGGGTAAGACTTCCAGTACTATCCTATCTAATAAAAGAGAAACATGGTAATTAGCGTACGACCGCTACCCATCCCGTTGGCTAATCAGGGCGATATGCAAATTAACTGCCAGCCAAGAATGCAGCCGGCAGCCAGGCAGCTGGAAAGCGAACATGAGGCTTGCTTGCTTCAGTGACAGAGGACTCCAACGTTCCCCGCCTGCTGCTGCCGGCCTCTGAGCTGCAACTCTAAGCAACTATGTTAAAAATATAGAAGCTAAACAAAACTCCAGAAACCTGCTTTAGTCGCCGGGCTTCAGCCAGCAGAATCACAACATTGTTTCAAATACAGAAGGTAAACAAAGGCCAGATACCTGCTTTCAGCAGCGGAGGCCTAAGAGCTGGAGCCTCAGAGCTAAAGCTGGACCAGAATTTAAAAAAAAAAGGAAAGAAAAAAAAGAGCGGTTGGGAGCTTCAGTCACCCACAAGCCTGAAAACAGCCCTCAGCCCCTCACCCAGACTGGCCAGGCACCCCAGTGGGGACCCCCACCCTGATCCAGGACACCCTTCAGGACAAACCAGCTGGCCCCCACCCATGCACCAGGCCTCAATCCTGTATAGTAAAAGGGTAATATGCCTCCCAGCACCAGGATAAGCGGAGCCATGAGGCCTCATGGCACCGGGATCAGCGTGACAGGGGGCAGCGCCCAAACCCCCTGATCGCCCTGCGGCTGTGTGTGACAGGGGGCGGGGCCACAACCTCCCTATCTGCCCTGCTCTGTGTGTGACAGGGTGCGGCGCCCCAACCCCCCCTACACGGGCCCTGCTTTGTGTGTGACGGGGTAGAGCAGCCATGGGCAAACTACGGCCCTCGGGCCGGATCCGGCCCGTTCGGCAGTTCTATCCGGCCCGCGGAGCCGAAAGAGCTGAGGGTTCTCTTGCTCTCCCCTCCGCTCCTTCACCAGCAGCAGTGTTAACATGTATTAGTTCACACAAACACTCCATCCATGCTTTTGTTCCGGCCCTCCAGTCCAGTTTAAGAACCCGTTGTGGCCCTCGAGTCAAAAAGTTTGCCCACCCCTGGGGTAGAGCCATAACCTCCCCATCAGCCCTGCCCTGAGTGTGAGAGTGGCGGCGCCCCAACCCCCTGATCCGCCCTGCTCTGTGCGTGACAGGGGGGAGCTCCCCAACCCCCTGATCAACCCTGCTCTGTGTGTGACAGGGTACGGAGCCCCAACCCCCCTGATGGGCCCTGCTCTGTGCGGGACAGGGGGCAGCGCCCCAATCCCCTGATTGGCCCTGCTCTGTGCGTGACAGGGGGTGGCGCCGCAACCTCCCCATCGACCCTGCCTTGAGTGTGACAGGGGACGGTGCCCCAACCCCCCAATCGGCCCTACCCTGAGCGTGACTGAGGGTGGCATCGCAACCTCCCGATCCGCCCTGCTCTGTGCATGACAAGGGCGGCGCCCCAACTCCCCAATCAGCCCTGCTCTGAGCCCGACCAGGGGCTGCACCTAGGGATTTGGCCTGCCCTCTGTCACCCGGGAGTGGGCCTAAGCCAGCAGGTCGTTATCTCCCGAGGGGTCCCAGACTGCGAGAGGGCACAGGCCGGGCTGAGGGACCCCCTCTTCTCCCCTCCCACCCTCAGTGCACAAATTTTTGTGCACCGGGCCTCTAGTCTATATATATAAAAGCCTAAGTGACCAGAACGACTGGTTGACTAGTCGCTATGATGCGCACTGACCACCAGGGCAGACACTCAACGCAGGAGCTGCCCCCTAGTGGTCAGTGTGCTCCAACGGCCAGCCAACCTCCTCCTGTCCCTCCCCCTCAGCCGGCAAACCTCCCATGGTCCCTCCCCCTTGCTGGCCTGGCCCTAGCCAGCAGCCAGCAGGCCCCAAGGCCCCGGCTGGCCCAGCCTCAATCGGGACTGGGCGAGGCGGCTCCAATAGGCCCTGATCGCTAGCCAGGCCTAGGGACCCCATCCATGCAATAATTTTATGCACCAGGCCTCTAGTGTTGAATAAGAGTGGTGAAAGCATACATTCCCTGTCTTGTTCCTGATTTCAAGGGGAAACTTGTAGTTTTTGCCCATTTTGTATGATGCTGGCTGTGACTTGGTTTTATATGGCCTTTATTACATTGAGGTATGTTTCCTCTATTCCCACTTAGCTGAGAGTTTTTATCATAAATGTATGCTTGATTTTATCAAATGTTTTTTCTATATCTATTGATATGATTATGTAGTTTTTATCTTCCATTTTGTTTATGTTGTGTATCACGTTTATTGATTTCTGAATATTGTACCAACCTTGCATCCCCAAAATAAATCCCACTTGATCATGGTATAAGGTCTTTTTAATATATTGCTGGGTTTGGTTACTAATATTTGTTGAGGATTTTAGCTTCTGTGTTTATCAGGGATATTGGCTTATAATTTTCTTCTTTTGCAGTGTCTTTATCTGGTTTTCGAATTAGGATAATGCTGGTCTTGTAAAATGAGTTTGGGAATCTTCCCTTCTCTTGAATATTTGGAATAGTTTTAGAAGGCTAAGTGTTAGTTCTTCTCTGAAGATTTGATAAAATTCACCTGTGAAGCCATCCAGGATGTTCAGAGCTTTTGTTTATTGCGAGGTTTTTTTTAATTACTGCTTTGATTTCACTAGTTGTAATCTGTGTATACAGATTTTCTGATTCTTCCTGATTTAGTTTTGAAGATTATATGTTTCTAGGAATTCATCATATTTTCCAGATTGTTCAATTTGTTGGCATATAGTTGTTCATAATATTTCATTACAGTCCTTTGTGTTTCTTTGGTGTCAGTTGTTACCTCTCTTAATTTCTGATTTCTGGTTTCATATCATTATGATCAGAGAGGATGCTTGACATGTTTTCAGTCTTCTGTCAATTAAATTCATTTGATCTAGTGTGTCATTTAAGACCAGCATCTTCTTAATTTATTGTCTTTCTGGAGGACCTATCCATTGATACCAATGGATGTTAAAATCCCCTAATATGACTGTATTACTGTCAGTCTCTCCCTTAATAGCCATCAAGATTTGCTTTATATATTTAGGTGCTCCTTTGTTGGGTACAAAATGTTTACGAGGTTTATATCTTGTTGGATTGCTCCCTTTATCATTATGTAGTGTCCTTCTTTGTCTCTTAAAGTCTATTTTATTAGATAGAAGTATTGCTACCCCAGCTTTTACGTCTTTCCACTTTTAACTATGTTCCTCTGTTTATTTGTTTCTCCTCCTCCCCCCCCCTTCCCCCCGTTTAATAATTTTTGTAATACTGATTTGGTGGTGGTAACTCCTTTGGCTTTTTCTTGTCTGGAAAGCTATTTCTCCTTCAATTTTAAATGATAGCCTTGCTGGGTAAAGTAGCCTTGGTTGTATTTACTTGCTTTTCATTACTTTGAATATTTCATGCCAATCTCTTCTGGCTGGAAATATTTCTGTTGAGAAATCAGCTGACAGTCTTAAGGGAGGGTTCCATATAGGTAACTAACTGCCTTTATCTTGCAACTTTTAAGATTCTTTGTCTTTAACCTTTGCCATTTTAATTATGATCTGTCTTGATGTGGGCCTTTTTTGAGTCCATCTTGTTCAGGACTTTGTACTTCTTGGACTATGTGGCCAGGTTAGATAAGTTTTCTGTCATTATTTCTTCAAGTAGGTTCTCATTTTCTTGCTCTCTTTTCCTTCTGGTACCCGTATTATGTTGTTACACTTCATGCTGTCCCAAGGTCCCTTAAACTTTCCTCATTTTTTTAAATTCTTTTTTTCTATTTGTTGCTCAGATTGGGTCTTTTTTCGACCTTGTTGTCCAATTTGCTGATTCGATCCTCTGCTCCATCCCACCTGCTGTTTATTCCTTCCAATGGATTCTTTATTTCACATATTGCATTCTTAATTTCTGACTTCCTTTTTTATGGTTTCTGTGTCTTTTTTCATACTTTTGAGCGTCCTTATAATTATTGCTTTGAACTGTATATCTGATAAATTGCTTGCCTCCACTTCATTTAGCTCTTCTTCTGGAGTATTCTCTTATTTCATTTGGAGCTTGTGTTTTTTTCTTCCCACTTTGGCTGCGTTTTTGTATTTGTTTCTATGTATTAGGTAACTGCTATGCCTCCCAAGTCTTGGTAGGATGGCCTTATTTAGTAGGTATCTTGTGGGACCCAGCAGCACAGTCTCCCTGATCCCCTGAGGTGATTGATTGCTCTAGAAATGTCCCTTGTGCATTTTATTGCACCTCCCCCCCATTGTAATTGAGACTTAATTGCTGTTGGCTTGTTCATGAACTCAATCCTCACACTGACTGACTGTGAGGCTCAACCACCAACACAGCATGCAAGCTGCTGTATAGTTTATAAAATGATGTTTCATTTTAGTTTAATCAGCTACAACTTTGTGTGCTGGAATAAACAGAAATAACCCAGCTGCAAGGGCAAGAGCTTTTCAAGAAAGAATTTGATTGTTAGTCAAAAATTGGAATTACATTGAATGGTTTATACATTAAGAAGGAGCAGAAATATGTCCTCAATAATTTTTTTAAGGTAGTAGCTTATTTCTTTTTACTTTAGTTAATCCTGTCCTGAGCTTGGTTTGTATTTTTATTTGTTTTTCTTTTAAAATAAGAACTGATTCTAAGAAAGTAAAACTTTTTAGAGACAAAATTTTTGCAAAGGATTTATTACTGAATTTTGCTAACTTTCTTTTTCAAGGTATCTGATGGCCAAGAGTCTACACCACCAACACCTGCACCCACCTCAGGAATTGTGGGGGCCTTAATGGAAGTGATGCAGAAAAGGAGCAAAGCCATTCATTCTTCAGGTACATTTGCATGTGTACATGTATATTTAATAAATTTGAATGCTTGAGTTCTATTTTTTGTTTGTTTGTTTTATGACTCAGTCTTTGCTAGATTTTCCCTGCTATTGAATAACTTATTGTTATGGATTCCAGGGAGTATTTTAAATGTTGTCCGTCACTGCAACTAGTCTCTCTAAAGCTTAATGGATGTCAGAACACCACAGCCATAACTATAACTTGGAAGAACTACTTTGGAAAAATGGCACTTTTGCTTCCTATACTGGGTAATTCTGACAGAATGCCTGGCAAACAACCTCTAAACAGTCTTGAGATTCCTGGATCTCGTTCTTAACGTTCCTGTGACATAAAGAATTTAGGAAGTTTTCCTGATTTGTGAGAGTTTAGACTAAGAAATTAGATAATTTCACTGTTCCTGGAGTTTGCTAAAGAATCCTAGTGTGTGTTTTTCTTTTCCTTTTTTGTCATTTCCTTAATAGGTTTATATGAATAAACTACTACCAGTCCTGAGCTTATTAATAAATATTAATATTAATAAATACTGTAAATAAATATTGCTTTTTAAAAAGAGCAAGCATATGGGTTTTGCTGATATAGGAGTTGAGGTTTAGCTTCCCCAGCATGATCAGATCTTTGTTCTTATTCAATCTATTGCTTATTCTCAATGGACCTCAGTTTTCTTGTTCCATAGAGAGAATTCATAAATCCTATGACTGATGTGAAGATTAATTAAAATAAGATCCTTGAGCAACATTTGTTTTCCTTAAATTGGCATAATATTCCCATAATGTGTTAAAAGATAGGCTAATTTAGTCCACAGATATTTATTGTGGAATAATTATAAAATAAAAAAACAACAACAAAGATTCATGTTTTCATTCTAGTGAGAGAAAGACAATAAATAAAATAGAAAAAAATATAGCATGTTAAATTATGGTGTATATATATATGTATAAACTATGGAGAAGAGGGAGATACAGCGAGTTATATGCTATGGGAGGCAGTTTATTTTGCAATAGGGTGATGAGGCCTAGCTGAGGTGACAATTGAGAAAATACTAGAAGGAGTTCAGGGAGTGAACCATATAGAAAACTGGCAAAGTGTGCTCAGGTGTCAGCCAGTACAAAGTCCCTGCAGTTGAGAAACAACAAAGGAGTCAGTATGACTAGAGCAAGGGTGGGAGGGGAAGAACACTGAGGAATGAAATGAGGTACAGTGGGGCCTTGACTTATGAGTTTAATTCGTTCCGTGACGGAGCTCGTAACTCAAATTACTCGTATGTCAAATCAACAGTGAACGACTCTCAAAAAACTAAAAATGGAACTCCCATTTGACCCTGTGATCCCACTTCTAGGAATATATCCCAAGAAACCAGAAACACCAATCAGAAAGGATATATGCACCCATATGTTCATAGCAGCACAATTCACCATAGCTAGGATCTGGAAACAGCCTAAGTGCCCATCAGTAGATGAATGGATTAGAAAACTGTGGTACATCTACACGATGGAATACTATGCTGCTGTAAAAAAGAAGGAACTCTTACCATTTGCAACGGCATGGATGGAACTGGAGAGCATTATGCTAAGTGAAATAAGCCAGTCAATGAAGGAAAAATACCACATGATCTCACTCATTCATGGATAATAGAGACCATTATAAACTTTTGAACAATAATAGATACAGAGGCAGAGCAGCCTCAAACAGATTGTCAAACTGCAGTGGGAAGGCCGGGGAGAGTTGGGGGGCAGGAGGGAGGCGGGTAAGAGATCAACCAAAGGACATGTATGCATGCATATAAGCATAACCAGTGGACATAAGACACTGGGGGGTAGGGGAGGCCAGGGGATTGTCAAGGGTGGGGGGAAAAAAGGGACACATATGTAAAAAAAAAAGAAAAAAAAATTAAGTTTAAAAACAAAACAAAACAGTGAACGAGTGAGACACGTGATGCTGGGCTGATGTTGTGGCATTCACTGTGATGTTCGCTGCGCCAACTAGCGGTGGGGTATCTGAAGCTGGCTCGTAACCTGAATTTTAGCTCGCAACTCAAAGCAAAAAATCGGCCGAGAGACGGCTCGTATCTCAAAAAACTTGTTAGTCGGGACACTCATAAGTCAAGGCCCCACTGTAGTAGGGGGCCAGTAGTAAGGCTTTGGAGGCCATGAATGTGATGGATGGTTCTTAACAGAGGAGTGGCAGTGATCCAAGCAAAAGACGATGGAGGTTTTAATCAGGTTGCTAGCATTAGTGAGAAGTAGTTGGACCTTCCTCATATTTAGAATGTGAAGATCACTGGGTTTGCTGATGGAATGAAAGTGAGGTTTGAAAAAAATCCCAAGTTTTGACCTGAAAACTGAAAGGGTGAAATTTTCATTAACAGAGGGAACAAAGATTTAGCAGAAGCAGCAGATTTGACAGGAAAGATTAGGAGTTTGGTTTTATACATATTAAATTTGAGATACTTATTAAAAAAGCAACTGTTGATATCAGTAGGCTTTGGGTTATCTGGGATTCAGGGGAGAGGTCTGGACTGTTAGTACAAATTTGCATGTCATTAAGATATACAAGGTATTTAAAGTTATGGAATTGGATGAGATCAGCAAAGAAGTGGAAGTAAATAGAGACGGTCACTAAGGTCTAGGGCTGAAGAATGTGCTGTATTAGAAGCCAGATGAAGAAATTTTTGGCCCTGGATAGTGTGGCTCAGTTGGTTGGAGTGTCGCCTTGTGGCAGGTTAATTCCCATTTGGATGCTTATAGGAGGCAATTGGTCAATGTGTCTCTCTTTCTCCCTCTCCCTCTCTATTAAAAAAGAGAGAGAGAGAAAATGTTTTTGAAGGAGGATAGACTAATCATTTGCGTCAGATGTGTCTGATAGGTCAATAAATTAGGAATAGGGAGTGAAGCTCTACCTCTAGCAGTGGTAGGTCGTTGGTGACCTGGAAGGAGCAGGGTCTGTGGATTCAAGAAAGAATAGGAAGGTAGAAAGGGAGACTGGGTTTTGGAACTGCCTGCTCTGTTTCTTTTATGCCTTAGTGTCAATGAGATTCCTGTCTGTCACTGCAATCAGTAGCTTAGCAGTATAGTATGCTGATTGCAATTTTCCAGCCTTTCCTTTAAAGATAATGATTAAAAAGATAATGTTTTTCTAGACTTGTTTCTCTGAATGTTTATTTAGAAAACCTTCACCTGCTAATTCACGTTCTAATCAGCAGATGACCAAATTTTTCTCTTGAAAACATGACTTTCTGACCCATTTGGTTCTAAAAAGTTAGCTGAACTGTTCTTTCAAGACATAGCAGTTGATAGTGACATTACTATAAAAAGTATGATTACTGAAATTGATATTTGTTAGAATATTTTCTCACTCTCTTCTTTACTACCTGGTTGGGTGTTAGATAATAACTAGCATAATTTGAACATCTGTAGTAAGTCTCAGTTTATCCACTTATGTATTCACACCACTAAGGTCAGTTAAGGGTATTGCTAAAAATTACCCTATAGTAAGGTTCTGTAAAGATATAAGTAACCATTATATAATAGCTATGTTGATGTGATGAATATATAGTATGGTTTTTACTTATTTTGGGGACCATCTCTTTTAACTATTATTTAGCTGTGGTAGTACCTGATGATAGAATTGTTAGCTACTTTTCCACACCATGCAAGCTGATAAATGCCTATATTCATCACCCTGTAAATGCACTTGATACCTTCCTCCAGGTGAATTCTGTGAAGCATGCCTAGCAAAAGCTTTGGGGAGCAAATTTTTTCTCTTTTTAGTTATGTAAACAGAGAAATTAATTAACATAAAGTTAATTGAACTCCTTTCCAAATAAATTCTGTAACAATTTAGAGCTAAGTCTCAATTACTTAAAATTATTGTTATTTTTTTATTCTTAATGTTGTTAAAGTGAAAACTTAGTTTGGGGCACAGGGAAGATATCTTTGCTCTTATTTGGCTTTTGTTAATTTCCAAGTTCTAATTCTAGAGCTCAAGTACTTTGTAGAAGCCTTCAAACTATCTGTTTTACAGGCAAAAAGATTATTCTGTTTTCTGTACCCATAGCTCACATATGTCACATATTCAGTTTCTATTGGCGCTTTACTAAATCATTATCAAATACAATTGCTCAGCCACTATTCTCACAAACTTGCCCTTTGTGGGTTTTATGAGGTATATAGTTTTTAAAAGGTCAGTAATTATGGGAAGTGGGTACATAATATAAAAGATTGCTCATAGAATTTTATGACATCTTAATATTTATTCATTCACTCAACATGCATTTACTGAGCAGCTTCGTGAAACATTATTCTGATGCTAAGAATTCAGTGATAAAAAGACAGGCAAGACCCTGTTTTAGAGTTTATATTCTAGTGTGAAGACAGGTCTGTAAAGAATTTCAGGTAATGATGCATATTATGAAGAAAATCAAGAGAGAGGGGTTACTGATTGTGGTGGAGGGTTATACCTTACATAGGGTGGTCTGGGTAGCCTCTCTGAAGAAGTGGTTTTTGAGTAAATCAACATGATGAGAAGACTCAGCCACACAGAGGAATAGTGACTGCAAAAGCTCTAAAACAAGAATAAATTTGGCATGTTTAAGGGACAGAAAGAAAGTCATGCGCCTAGCAACAGTGAATTGCAGGAGACGGCATATGAAAAAAGTTTGGGGGAGGGAAGAGACAATAACTAGGCAGATCATGTAGGGTCTTGTAGAGTGAGGTAACATCAGATTTTATTCAAATAATAGTAGTCGGCCACTTACATCAATAAAATTGTATTTTTAAAACTTAGAATTTAAATATCACTCCATTTGCTTTAAGGCAAATGGACTCTAGAGTTGTAATATCCAAGCAAGATGTGATGGTGGTGTGGGAGCAGTAGTGGAAGTGGAGGAAAGGAGCAGCCTTGATGGATTGGATGGGGGTGGGGGTGAAAACAGGAATCAATAGTAACTTCTAGGTTTGGGGCCTAAACAGCGGGGAGACTGGTAATCATCAGGGCACAGACGAAGGTGGTGGGGGGAAAGCAGGTTGGAGAAGGAGATAAAACTTCAGAACTTTTGAGTTTGAGAATCCATGTAGAGAATACCAGGCAGCAGTTGGATTTGCACTATGCGAATCTAAAATTCAGAGGGGCCCAACCTAAATGTGACTTTACATGTAAAGAAACACACAGGTTGAAATTTGTAACATAAATACTAAGGGACCAGAGCCCGTCTTCTGACTCCAGTTCTCATCTCTTACTCATCACTACACTCTTAAGATGCATTTTATTAGATTCATTTTTAACTATCTTAGTAACTAGATTCTTCAGGTATCAAATGGTTTGTGTTTCAGAAGTTGAATAATTGGAGAAATCACCCAAGAATTACGTAATATTTTATTTATACATAGGTTTTAATTGTCTCAATTTTCTTTTAGATGAGGATGAAGATGAAGATGAAGAAGAAGATTTTGAAGACGATGATGAGTGGGAAGATTGATCTATATATTATATATATATTTTTAAGGTGAAATACTAAACACTACTTTCTGTCTATGGATTCTGTAAAATTACCATGTAAATGTTCTACCAATTTGCTGTATATTTTTGTTGCCTTTTTTGCTTTTTTTTTTATTAATCTGTGCAATACCTCATTTAATCTGTAAAGGTTTGTCATAATCCTCTACAAAGCTACTCCCTGTTCTTGTGTGCAAGTTTACACCAGGATGCTCACTTAATTTGTGAATATTTTTTCATTCCATCAACAAGGGAGTTTAAATATTATATGTGAGACTGACAAAAACCTTAATGTAATTTAGTTATAATGCCAGAAGGAAAACACTATTTTCATACCCTACTTTTTCTGTACCTAAATTTTCTTATTAAAATCTAGTGTAGCACTACATTCTTTTTAAGTGATGCAAACCTTAGTTTATTTAGCCCCTTTATTTTGAACACAATGCTATATGAATGTTGAAGTTGATACATTGCACAGTTTTTAGACGTCACTACAATGATGCAGTTTCTCAAATTTTAGCAATATGCTCTACATAAAATCACCACAGAAATGCTAGTTAGGGAAAACAGTAACACACCTCTTACAGCAATATTGCCTGTTATGTAAAGCAGCGGCATTTGGAGGCTGGTATCATTAGGAGCCCTTACATACCTGTACTTGATTTGGCTCTTTTGGCAAAAATTTTAAAAATAATTTTGGTGTTATTCTGAAATAAATGTTATTTAAATTATTGGAGTTTGGGGAATCTTGTGAATAATTTTCATATGAACTGAAGTCAACTACATTATGGTTACTTTACTATTTGGTTGTGTATAGTATAAAAATTAGAACATTATAAAAATTATATGAGTTTAATAACTTTTATTTTGCAGTTTATATCGATTGAGATATTCAAAAATAGCAGCCATAAGAATCTAATCTACTGTTGAACCCATTATGCTTTTTTTAAGAAATTTTTATAATTTCTCAAGGTTTTTATCAAATGTCAGGTGAAGGGTTACATTTTTCTTATAAGATTGCTTTCCCCAATGTCAAATTTCTTGGGAAAAAAAAACATAACTCAATGACAGATTTTTAAAAAAAATAAAATAAAAATTTGCAACCTGTACATTTGTTATGCACAGAAAAATGATATGTTAAAATTAGGGTTTCCTTGCCTCTCTACAATACACTAATTGCCTAAAGGTGGTTTTCATATTTGTAACACTAATTATAATACCTTCCTACTTTAAATTTTAGATAGAAAAATTATCTGATTTAAATAAGACATTTTTTTTCTCACATTGAGTCATGCAGAATGTAGTTCCAAATGTATTTCATTACTGTAATCACAGTATCCAACTAAAAATTAAGCTCTCTAGAATTATACCGACCCAAATCTAGTATTGGCATGATCTTGACAGGCTGGACCTGCAAGATGTGGCTTGAATTTTAACCAGTTATCACATAACTTCTAGTGATCATGCATCTAGTTATCATAAGAAATAATTTAAAAGGTTTTGTTGCTAAAAGCAGTTAAGTGGTACAGTAAAACAGTTAAGTTATTCAAAGAATGTTACCTTCCTTGCAAGAGTAATTTAAGCACATGGGAAAGATTCTAGATCTAGACTTTTTGTTCTTGCAGAAACAGTGCCCTCTGCTGCTGGAAACCTTTTTCTGCTTACTATAATTTCTATTGTGGCTTGAGCTCAGTTGAACCTGGTGTAGATGAGGCTAGACAACTTACTAACCAATAAAATTAGGAATTTGTGCAAATGGTAAATAGAACATACTACTTATTTTAAGTAATATCAAACATTTTCCATTTTTTTCTTTTCAACATTATAAAAAACACTTTACATATTCTAGAAATGTCTTTAAGGTAATGCCAATTTAAGATCTCTCTAACTTTTGGCCAAGGAATTCAGGGTTTTCCGCTAACTGTGGTATAATAACTATCAGGAGCTGCTCTGAGCAGAGGCTATGAATTCTTTGAGTTGTGAACACAATTTTAAACACTTAAGATGGGTAAGAAATTTGCCAAAGGTATTTGAGTTTATTCTTCCTTATTAAAGAAAAGGACTTGTTGTTGTTGTTGCACAAAGTCTAAGTTACTATTGGTTGAAACACTGCAGCTGTGGAGTTCAGTCCGGGCATGAGGACTGAATCTGCGTTCAATGTAAAGGTTGCATGTTTCAGTCCTCCACCACCGTGCACTGTGGGCAGCACTGTACCTGTGCCTTGTCTGGAAGCCTCCTATATATACTCCAGCTAAGTGATTGTCTGACAGCCTTCGCATTAACAAACCAGCATGAGGCTTTTTAATCTAAATGCTACGTGATATAGACAATTTCAGCTAGCCACATATTGTATGTATGAGATTCAAAATGACTTTCAATCATTCATTTCCATTTATCAACTGAATTTTTGTTTAGTATGTGAATTTCTTTTTGAAATGTATAGTGAATAGGATGTTGCACTGGTGGCAATTCATCATGGAACATAATAAAATTAATTTGACCCAAAAAATATAAAATAGTGTGTTTTCATTTATTGTTAAGAGACTAAAAGTGAAGGCGGCGGCGGGTGGGGGGTGGTGTGAAACGATACAGTGAAGGGCACACAGCAGTGAACGATAATGGTTGGAGTTTTCAGCGGCCGCATGCCCTGAGAGCTAGTGTGCCATTAAGTAAACACGGAAAGAAAGGAATGTTACAGCCTGTTCTGCTGGGAGAAGTGGCAGCTGCTCGGCTCCTGGGCGGCCACTGCTGTGACATACAGAGCGTTCATGTCACAAGTCGCACTGAAAGAAACCTTCACGCAGCAACAGTGTTGCGGTTCTAAACTAGAATATTGGAGTTTACTGGTAGTTTCAGTAAAAGCCCAATACAGCAGTTCATGTGGAATTTAAGTAGCTCCTAATGAATGGTATTAAAGATGGTGCGTGCTTTAAACAAGAAGCTCAGTTTTTGATAAATAGAATTTTTTGTTCTACTGACCCTGGCACGAGTGGGTGTCTTAAGATTAAACTAAGTTATGGAATCCAGTGTGTAGGATGCTACTGAATGCCTTCTAAGACCTTTCACCGAATTTAACAAACATGTCAAGAATAATATGTTCTATTAAAAAGTTGTTTGTGTCGTACAAATGTGAACACTTAAGAATGTATTAACCAAACTTTACCAAAAAGTTTTAGAGAAAAGTGCCTCCGAATTGCTCTTGTCACATATTTATGTAATCAACAGAGAAATTCCTGAAATAACTTGCTCTTTTCACATGAAGTTCTTAAAGGACAGCTATAGAGATAAGGCCTATTTATAGTACAATAGAAAATACTGCATGGAAACGTGGAGAAATTTTACTTTGCATACTTATTTTATTGCCATTGTCACCTCTACCTCCAAATCATAGCATTTTCTGGCAATATTTTGGTCTTTTATTCATGGATTTTTTTAAACTTTGCTTCTCATGAAGCCACTGGGAAAAGGTGTAATAATTTGGTTGTTAGGACTGTGATGGGGAACATATTTTGTAGCTAATAGTAAGACTGCCTTTACTTCTATCTGTGGTATATGGTATCCTCCATTGCCATGAGGGAGCCCAGTGAAAATTTTGGCTTTATAACAAAATATGTCTAGATAAATCAGCCATAATTTTTTTTATTTTTAAATATTCGTCAGTGGTCATAGTAACTACTGATGAGTATTTCACTTCACAGAAGTCCATTGTAAATCTAAACTGGTCATGTGTACCACCATTAAGATTGACAGATCAAGATATGAATAGCACAATTATTTTGAGTAAAATATAATAGTACCTTATAGGTGGTTTTTAGTTTAGATATTTTTGTGTTGGTGAATTGCTAGTAATTTGAAATGGCCCTTTAGTTTTTAAGGATTTTTTTGAACTTTCTATTTAAGAGTAAGTCCAGTTTTAACAGTCGATTTGCATTATGGAACTTGAAATTACAAGTATCACATTGACATACAGTGGGGCCTTGACTTACGAGTGTCCCGACTAACGAGTTTTTTGAGATACCAGCTGTCTCTCGGCCGATTTTTTGCATTGAGTTGATAGAGTAATTTGAGTTAACAAGCTCCTTAATGAGCTCGGTCTTGGAACGAATTAAACTAGTAAGTCAAGGCCCCATTGTAATTTTCTGTCTTGAATTGGTTGACATATCTTGACCTAAATTCAGTTTTAGTTATTGCTTGATGTGTGAGGATTTTCATCAAGGCTTAAGTATAAAAAAATTTTAAGCAATATCACCATATTTAAATAACTATTAAGACTAAATATGTAGTGGATATTAAATATGTAGTGGAATAAGATAGGTTCCCCTCCCTCCTTTAAAATACTTCACCACTGAAAGACAGTTGGAGACCATTGAGTTATTATCAAGCCTACTCCTGCTGGGGTCCTACCCCAGCAGGTCCAGGGGTTCCCAAAGGTGTGGACGGAGTCGGTGAAGAAGGAATGACATGGAGACAGCGTTAAGTTGATCAGCAGCCTAGCCAGGATCTCTAGCCAGGATCTCCAGCCAAGTTCTGGTCTGGATCTCCAGCGAAGTTCTGCTTTGGATCTCCAGCGAAGTTCTGGTCTGGATCTCCAGCCAGGTTCTCCAGCCAGGTTCAGTCACCAGGTTCTAGTCAGGTTCTCTTGCCAATTTCTGTAGTCAGGTTCAGTCCAGGATCTTTTGCCATGTTCTCTCCAGCAAAGTTCTTCTGTCTGTAGGTTCTGTGTAGGTTCTGTCCTCTTAGTTCTGTGTTCTAAGCTCTGTATTCTAAGTCCTGAGTTCTAAGTTCTGTGTTCTAAGTTCTGTATTCTAAGTTCTGTGTCTTGCTGTCTTATTACATCTGTATTTATACCAGTTGATTCAATCCTATCAATCTCTATTACAAAGGTTAGGGCGTTTCTTATCTCCATTCCAGGGAGTAAAGATTATGTAGCTTAAGCATGATTGTTCGTAGTTAAAGTGATTAATTACCCACCTGGCACTAGTTAAGAGGTTTTATTCCCTCCCTAACTTCAGGGGAAAATCCCTACCTGGGGAAACAACCTTTCTCAGAGACCTTGGTTAAAACACATAGTGCCAAGAAGGTGAGCAAACATATTAAGAACAGTATGCCATATATGCCAGGTCCCTTGAAACAGCAAGCATGGACCGGCTCCCGGCATACTCCCACTTCTCAGGTAAAGGTACCCGTGTTCAGAGTGGTGGAGGGGCTTGCCCCAAGGTTAGAAGAAGCTCATACTAGAAGCCAGATCTACTAATTCAGTTGCTCTTTATTATGTACCATAATACTGTTTTTTCCTTGTTTTCTCTATTTTTTGTGAGTTATGGATAAAATGCAGATTTACTCTTTCTGAAAGATTTGTGGCTATAAATTTCACTCACATGTCATCTGGGTGTGACAGAAGCTATCCCTGTGTTCCCTGGGAAACCTGGCTTGCTTTGAGGAGCCAGCCTCTGACTGAAGCATGTGATCATATTTGGCTCAGTGATGGCAGTCACCCTACATTGTCCAAGCATTTAGTCATCACCAGACACTCCTGTCATTTAGGACTCAGTTGAAATGATTGAACTTTATATTCTACACATCCAAATTATGTGTTAGTTTCTTATAAATGTGAATGGTCATTGCCTTCATTTAAACATAAGTATTTTGTAAACCCTTACAATAAATTTGCCAGACAAAATTAGTTTGAGGCTGTTTTAATCTTTCTGTATAATTTTCAGTCAACAGCTGCACTGCCAATTTACTGACAGGAAGTTCTTCCAAGGAGCATGAGGACAAACGGAACACTTTAACTCCACAACTCTCTGGTTTCCTTAGTAGTAAGAGAGGAGAGCTTCTAATTTGGTGGCATGTACCTTACCCTTATTAGAAAACAGGAAGAAAAATAAGACACAGCTAGTGTTTGTGGTACTGAAAGGAAGAAACTAAGTGAAAGGAAAAGGCATTTTGTCCAATTAACTATAGTGAAGCAAAGCTATTCATAATGTTTCAATTCTGGAGTTGTCTATAAGACAATGCTAATTGGCCCCTCAAATCAGCTTGTGAACCTGAGAGAAACAACCTTTTTTTCTGTAACTAGTATGAGGGTCTAAGAGAATAGAAAGGAGGAGACTGTGTTTGCAAGCAGAGTTTTAAGATTAGCGATAGGGAGACCCTGACTGATGTGGCTTGATTGGAGTGTCGCCCCAATACACTAAGGTTGCGGGGTTGGAGACCGGTCTCTCTTCCTTTCCTTCTCTCTCTAAAATCAATAAATAAAATTTATTTTACAAAACAACAATTACCAATTGGGAGAACACTGCAAGTAGAAATAAGTGGGAGTCTTAAATTTTTTAATCCTATTTTATCTGGTTTCATTTTTTTAAAAAAAAAATTTTCCCATTGCTATTTATCTCTCTTAACCACTGTAGTTCCCTGCCTCCCAGATGCGTTAACACACCAGTGATGGTCAAGAATCAGTTATGGCGAACCTATGACACGCGTGTCAGAGGTAACACGCGAACTCATTTTTTTGATTGATTTTTCTTTGTTAAATGGCATTTAAATATATAAAATAAATATCAGAAATATAAGTCTTTGTTTTACTATGGTTGCAAATATCAAAAAATTTCTATATGTGACACGGCACCAGAGTTAATTTAGGGTTTTTCAGAATGCTGACACACCGAGCTCAAAAGGTTCGCCATCACTGGTCTAAATGAACAGTAAAAATATTACTCCAATATCTTTTCTTCAAACGTAGAAGGCTTGGGATTTTTCTGCTCATGTGTGTACATGCAAAGACCCAAAGAGAAATGTCATTCTCTTGTCAAAACTTTTAAAATGCAACATAAAGGAAAATGTTATAATAATGTAGCTAAACCAGCAGCTACTAAAGCAAGACAAGTTTTGAGATTAGTATAACCCGATTTGTGCAGTATTCAGTTAATAGAATAGGATTTGCTCATCCCCATTCTTTTCCATTATTTTTTTCTATTTGAAAGATTAGGTAACTTGCATGTTTGAGTAATCCCAAGTGCTTAATTATTACATAAGAATTTATTTGGAATTACCTCAGAACCTTCTCTCCAAACTTAAAGCAATCTCTGCTGGTCTGTCTTCTTACCTTAAGCATTTCCTATTTATTTCATATCTTTATCACCCCAGTTGTGACTTTTAATTTATAAACTGGAGTCCCAGTGCACAAATTTGTGCACCAGTAGGGTCCCTCGGCCTGGCCTGTGGGATGGGGCTGAAACCGCTCTCTGATATTCCCCGAGGGGTTCCAGATTGTGAGAGGGCACAGGCCAGGCCAAGGGAGCCCACCAGTGCACAATCAGAGCTGCAGAGGGACGCGGGAGGGTTAGCAAGCCCGAGAGGGGCCACCGGAGGGCTCCAGGGCATGTCTGGCCCATCTCCTTCAGTCTTGATTGGCCGGACCCCAGCAGCAAGCTAACCTACCTGTCAGAGTGTCTGCCCCCTGGTGGTCAGTGCACATCATAGCAAGCGGTTAAGCTGCCTTAGCATATCAT